GCTGGAGGACGGCGTGAGCCCGGGGGTTCTGGGCTGCAGGGGCTGTGCCGAGCGGGCGTCCAGGCTAAGGCCGGCATCGATATGGTGGCCCCGGGGGAGCCGGGGGCCACCAGGTCGCCTAAGGAGGGGTGAACCGGCCCAGGTCGGAGACGGAGCAGGTCAAAGCTCCCGTGGCGGTCAGTAGCGGGATCGCGCCTGTGAACGGGCCCTGCAGCACAGCCCGGGTGACAGAGCGGGACCCAGCCTCTTTTGGCACCTTTGTCCCCGGGATCCAGCCTCTTTTGACATCTTTCTGCCCGGGATCCAGCCTCTTTTGGCAGCTCTCTGTGCCGGGGAGCAGCCACAGAAAGGTCAAGAAAGGCAGAAGCATCCTACGTTCCCCGGGGACGTTCGACCCGAAGGTGCTGCCCCAGCCCCGCTCGCCTGGGCGCTCTCGTGTTTTTGTGGTGGGCCGTGTGATTCCGAAACACGGCAGACTTGCAGGATCCCAGCAGATGGAACTATTAAACTGGGAAATGCCAGGCAGCAGGATTTCCCAGTTCGTGTTCCCGGCTCAGTTCCCATCTCCCAAACACCCGGCTTAGGCAGCCCGCTCCAGGCTGAGATGGCATTCCAGCTCCTGGGCGTGTCATTAGAGTGCTCCGCGGGGTATTTACTGTCACAGCTCATTTGTGTCCTCGGCTCTGAGCTTCACACTCTTAGGAAAACACTGGCAAATCAGGAAGCTTTGCTCTCCGGGGAGTGTTTCGAAGCAGGGAGTGCGACATCCCTTAGCTGCTCTCGTGCAGAGCTATCCTGGAGATACAGCTCCATGATGTGCCTCACTTGGCTTAAAATGAAAATAAAGCATCAGGGTGTGCCTCTTCTGGCTTAAAATGAGAAATTTGGGTTTTCTCAGGAGCTTAAACCTGCTCAGAAATGTTTCCTGTCTATCCATCCACCCGTTTTCAAACATAAACTACCGGCAGCCCAAGGACATTCCGTCAGTTGTCCACTGCCACTGTGTGGCCGGGCAGAGTCTGCACAGGATGGATGCCGAGGAATACGCAGAAACCTGGAAAATAGCTGGATATGGTGGTTTGTGCCTGTAATCTGAGTGCTGGTCGGGCTGATGTTAAAGCACGGCTTGATTCCAGGGATTTTGGGCTGCAACGAGCTGTGCCGAGCAGGTGTCTGTGTGAAGTTTGGCGTGGATGTGGTGATGTTCCTGAGGGATGTGTGATGTTCCTGAGGGAACTGGGGGCCACCAGGTTGCCTAAGGAAGGGGGAACTGGCCCAGGTTGAAGTGGAGCAGGTCAAAATTCAAGTGTTGATCCGCAGTGGGATGGTGTAGGTGAATATTTCCTGGAGCACAGCCTGGGAATGGAAAAGAAACGCAGATTCCTTTTCCATAGGGAATGGGTCAGCAAGGTATGGGGATCTGTTAATGCTGAGGCTCAAGCAGCAAGGACACAGTGAGGAATTTCAGCCGGGACAGTGGGGAATCCCAGCCAGGAGAGTGGAGAATCCCATCCTGGAGAGAGGAGCAGGGATCACATCTCACAGGGGGTCTGCAGGGGAAGAGAGGGAACCAAAAAATTAGATCTTTATAAAAGGGGAGGGAGAGGGCCCAGAAACAGTCTTCTGAAGAGATTCCTTCATTGGAGAGATGCCCCTGATCCCACTGTGAGGCTTTGGGAACAACCCCCAAATTGTGTAAGAAATGAGAAATCGGTGTTTGTGCTGAGGATGGGGGGGAGGGTCTCTTTCCTTGGCCTGGCTGCCTCCTCAGCTGGGAAAAGGGAATGTGTGCTGAGGGTGGGAAGGGAAGGAGGGAAAGGGAAAATAGGAGGGGAGGGAGAAGGGCAAGGGGTAAAGGGAAGAAGGGGGAAGGAGGGGAAGGGGAAAGGAAAAGGAAAAAGGGGAAGGAGGAAGGAGGGGAAGAAGGAGAAGGGGGAGAGAAAAAGGGAAAGGGGAAGGGGGAAGGCGAAGGAGAAAGGTGGGAGAGGGAAGCAGGAAGGAAAACAGGAAAGGGAAAGGGGAAAGGAGAAGGAGAAAGGGAAAAGGTGGAAGGGGGAAGAAGGAGAAAAAGGAAAGGAAAAGGGGAAAAGGGAAGGGAGAAGGGAAAGAGGGAAGGAAGGGAAGGGGAAGGGGAAAAAGGTGAATAGGAAGGGGGGAATGAGAATGGAAAAGGGGAAAGGAAAAGGGGAAAAGAGAAGGGGGAAAGGGGAGGGGGAAAGGGGAAAAAAGGAGGAGGAAAGGGAGAAGGGAAAGAAGGAAAGGGAAGGGGGAAGGGAGAAGGAGAAGAGGGAAGGGGGAAAAGGAAAAGAGAAAGAGGGGGGAGGGAAAGGGAGAAGGAAAAGAGGGAAGGGGGAAAGGGAAAAGGGAAAGAGGGAGGGGGGAAGGGAGAAGGAAAAGAAGGAAGGGGGAAAAGGAAAAGGGAAAGAGGGAGGGGGGAAAGGGAGAAGGAAAAGAGGGGAAGGGGGAAAAGGAAAAGGGAAAGAAGGAGGGGGGAAAGGGAGAAGGGAAAGAGGGAAGGAGGGGGAAAAGGGAAATGGGAAGGGGAAGGGAAGGAAGGAGAAAAGGATGGAAGGCGAAGGTCAGGGAGTAGGGAGGGAAGGAGGAGAACGAGAATGAGAGGGAGGAGGAGGAACGGGGAAAGTAGGAGGGCCGGGGGCGGGTCGGGGGCGGTGCCGTGCGGGCCGTGAGCGCTGTATGGTCTCTGTGCCGGCGGCTCCTTCGCCGGGCGCGGTGGCGCGCGCCTGTAGTCCCAGCTACCGGGGAGGCTGAGCCCGGCGGATCGCTTGAGCCCAGGAGTTCTGGGCTGCAGGGCGCTGTGCCGAGCGGGCGTCCAAGCTAAGGCCGCCATCAATATGGTGACCCGCGGGGAGCTGCGGGACACCAGGTTGACTAAGGAGGGGTGAACCGGCCCAGGTCGGAGACGGAGCAGGTCAAAGCTCCCGTGGCGGTCAGTAGCGGGATCGCGCCTGTGAACAGGCCCTGCAGCGTAGCCTGGGCAACACAGAGACACGCGGGCTCCCTTTTGCCCCACAGCCACCCCCAACACCCCACCCGACCCCGCACGGACCCCGTTTTACCCCACACAAACAGCGCCTCCTCATGGGCCCGAGCGGCACCGCAGACACGGCGCTCGGCGAAACATTAACAGCACGCCGCGAATCTCCAAGCCC